GAAAAATTATGAAAAGTTTCGCTTTAATACATTCATCTCTAATGGACATTATACTCTAAAGAAGTAAATAATTGTTAACCCATTAAAATCACCCATTGCATGTAGTAGATTATTTCCAGGAGCAATCGGAGCTATAACTTCTGTTTCATGACTAGTAAAATGATTCCACCAATATGATATGAGTATTTCGATAAAAATGTCAAATATCTTAATATGGCAATTAGTCTCAATTAGAAGGGTCAGTTAACTTTTAAACTCCATWTTACGTTTCTTCCACGTGGCAACACTGACTAATAGCTATTTAATGTTTTGGCTATGCTAATCAATGAAAAATGCTCCCACCAATGATTCATYAATGATAATTGCAATATTTTGTAACTAATGTAACTACCAAATAATAAGCCAATCAACATCATTGGGATCAAGCGGCAACCAAAAGTCATTTGATAAACTGTCCACTCACCTTCTTGCCATTGATGAGCCACGTGATATGCGGTGCTGGGAATGCGCGYGTCGTGTTGCATAAAGCAAATAACTTTTCGCCGATGACAAATGGCATTCGCTTCCGGAATTTTATTATGGGCGGTCCAGTTTGCGGCACTAGAAGTGTAATGTGACACACAAATACATACAAGCATACAAACAATAAGCATATTTTATTTCAATCGCCGCTCGCACTTACAGAATACTGATAATAATTCATCCACYGACGCCTCGGTGTAGATAGGCGCGTCCGTTGAAACCTCACAGAAGAATTGCCCCGACAATTCAAAGTCAACATTTTTCAACGTCACCTGCGTCTCGTTGGAATTTTCCCACTGTTAAATATTCAAATTAAATGATGAGGCAAATGTATGGCTATCTATGGGGCGTAGAGTAATACAATGTACTTATAGCCTATGTATGTATGTGTGTAAGTTGTATATTATTATTTGGTTAATTTAAATAAAATATATATGCATGTCATTAATTATTAATAAAGTGGTTGGAAGCATAAAAGAATCATAAGAGGAGAATTTTTGTGAAATCGTGTGACAATGATATTGGAATAAATTAAGGGATGTTCGTKCATAAGGTGTTTGTTGTTAGCATATCTATGTATGTACATATGGAGCTGGTATTTCAAAAATCGTTTGCTGAAAATTTATTGTGCCGATTATATGAGGCCAAAMACGATTTACAAAAGGTTACGTTAGGCTAAGAGATCGATCCTAAGAAAAATCTTTTTTGGAGAGTTTATAATTTGTATACCTTAACCTTACTTAACCTTGTATATTAAGTTCGCCACAATGTTTGTAACCCACAGAAGGAAACGGCGGAGACCCTATAAGTAATTATCAGTATGTTGAGCTGAGTCGATTTATYCACGTCCATCTGTGGATTTTCCTCATTTTCTTACCAATCCGTTTCCAGTAAGTTTTTGAGCGGTTTCCATTTATTGTTGCCATGTGATCAAATTTGACCCCGACTGGCAAAAGAAATAACATTTCTGGAGTTTAGTTGTTTTTTTACCAATCCAGTTCTAGACAGTGTTTGAACGGTTTCCATTTATTGTCAAAACATTGCCATCTGATCAAATTTGACCCGGACTGACAAAAAAAAACTACATTTTCTTGTATTTTAATACAAATCTTTATTATCGCCATACAAATAGGCTTATTTTAAGCCAATAAAAGCATGCCAATGCTTTATTTTATTTTCAATAAACTTGTTTTAAGCTTTGGCTGGAATGGCTTTCAGTTCCTTCAACGAGTTTTGATATTTTCGGTTTCGGCTATTCGCTAGATTAATGTACGGTTTGGACCTCATTATCACACGCTCACATGTTGTCACCAATAATTATGCGTTTGATAAATGTTGGGGACCCCATCTTCATTGTGAAGTATCTCTCTTGCGACCTCTACTCCGTGTCGGTTTCGCGAAGGATTCAGGTCTATTGGTTCGAATTCATATTCAAGACATTAACCGAAATATGTTGAGTTAATCTGTAGGACATGTTCAGACTCTTTGCTTTATTTCTGATGGCAATGTTTATTCGCATCAACTGGCAAGAGGGAAGTTTTCGATGGCTTCACGACCTACACTGAATGCTTTGCGCCACTATTGTGTACCTGTGTTCGTGATAAAGTGGAATCACTCAACACAAACACTCCTGCAACTTTTTCAATGAAACCATACCAGTGATTATATTGGAAATATAAAACTTCGCTCTAGTTGTTCAATTACAAAAATCAGCAGACGAGAACCATAGATATGATGACAACAATCTAAGACTTAATCCTATGAGCTTTCAATACGATGTGTACAAAGTCATACACCTTATGACATTAGTTAATTCATGACATAAAACTGAAAGAATTGTTAGTTGTTTGTAAATATATAAACTGTTTATTAGCCTTTTAAATCAGTCAWAAATGTCGGGTAACTTTTACAGCTTATGAAAGGCACGCACCTATGTATACAAACGAACTAGTTTTATATACCCAACGTGCAACAAAACTTCCGCAATTAATTAAACATATTAAAAGCTCAATATGGCAAAGTAATTATACCTGCTGTAAAGGATACAAAACTCCCTTTACTGTTGCTTGATATGATGTAAAATACAAAGTAACATTTTAGAGTTATTAACGGAATCATATTGTACTATTTGGTATGTACTGTATACGATGGGAAATTGATCAAGAAGAGGTAACACATATTATTATTTTATATATCTTTCCGATTTTATTTAAATGATCACAGACAAAATTTTTACACAAAAGACATACTTACATACATATATAAATATATTAACCAGTGAGAGGATCTGAGGAAAAACTAAAATGAAATCGGACTCAAAATTAAAAGAACTCGCTTGGTTACTAGAAATACAAAATACTTGAAACAAAAGAAAACTTAAAAACGAAACCGAAACCGAATCGTTCGGTCACTAGTTTTGCATAAAAATTTGTCATTTAATACCGAAGAGAAGTTAAACCGAACACGAAAGTGAACCCGAAACCGAAACTATTCGGTCGATAACTAGCATTAGTTTTTGCACAGACATTATTCCGTAATTCCGCCCAACAAACGACAGAAGGCGTACAAATAGACGAACTACTAGTATTACAATGACAATGCACAGAGATTTGTAAGCAATTGCGACAAACCTTCTAAAATAAGCCATGGCATTTATAACTAAAACTTGTGTGGGAGGTTAATATGTATGTAARTGAGAACTTGATATAAATAGACATTAATTTCGGTGACATATTTGTTTTGTGACTATTTATATTTTTTTATGCAATTATAAAAGGCTATTTGTGACGAATATAGACTTAAATAAAAATTTAMAATGAAATTCGTACTCACATCAATTTCACCGCCGCCAATGGATGTATTCCGGAATGGCGGATTCCGTCCATTTATGAATTCGAARAATTTACCCTTGTCAACTTTGAGCCACGTCACCTGCAATTGATGGCAAGGAATGCCAAGATTTAATAAAAGTTAACAGAAATCTTATTGCTTGACAGTGATGTGTGCACACAACCACATACACACACATATATAGTATATACAAGAGCAACTATATCATATCATATCCGGTTACATTCATTTATTTAACAGTATTGCAGGAATCTCGAATATTTCGACACACCGCTTTGCTTGGTTCGGGTTGAATTGATTGATAAATTCGACAGTGACAGTGATAAGAAGAGAACTCGCATGAGCGGATATGTAAAGCATCTGTTTGTAAATAAGTTATTGAACCGTCACATGCCCTGGAAAAGCCGTCTTTTTTTTTTTTTTTTTTTTTTTTTTTTTTTTTTTTTTTTTTTTTTTTTTTTTTTTTTTTTTTTTTTTTTTTTTTTTTTCATAAATTATTAAACATAAATAAGCAGTTTACTTTTACTTTAAAACGTACCTAAACAATTTTATTAACCATGTATTTAGCATGGAATTTTTGGATATTTTGCAATAATAATTGAACTTCAAAGCAAATAAAGGATAAAAAAAATATTATAATACAATTTTTTTCGCTACAAAAACGAAATTATTAAATCTTATAATAAAAAGATTTCTTCAAAAGGTATGCGCATTTGAAGTTATGCTCGATTTACTTGATTCACATAGTACTACATTGCGTATGAGCAACACACAATTTGAATATTTGATGTATTATTTTAAGTGCAAATA